AGATGACAAGTGCCTGGATTAGGACCTGTGCCGCTTCCTGTGTAAGGCAGGGTCGTACTCTCCGAATGTTGTAGAGCATGAACCTGCAGGAGCGGGTCACCGCCTTGATGTTGGCGGAGAACGACAGGGTGTTGTCCAGGGTCACGCCTAGGCTCTTCGCACTCTGGGAGGAGGACACAGCGGAGTTGTCAACCGTGATGGCGAGATCATGGAACGGGCAGTCCTTCCCCGGGAGGAAGAGCAGCTCCGTCTTGCCAGGGTTCAGCTTGAGGTGGTGATCCGTCATCCATACTGATATGTCTGCCAGACATGCAGAGATGCGATTCGCCACCTGGTTATCAGAAGGGGGAAAGGAGAAGATTAGTTGTGTATCGTCAGCGTAGCAATGATAGGAGAGGCCATGTGAGGATATGACAGAGCCAAGTGACTTGGTGTATAGGGAGAAAAGGAGAGGGCCTAGGACTGAGCCCTGGGGGACACCAGTGGTGAGAGCATGTGGTGCGGAGACAGCTTCTCGCCACGCCACTTGGTAGGAGCGACCGGTCAGGTAGGACGCAATCCAGGAGTGAGCCGCGCCGGAGATGCCCAGCTCGGAGAGGGTGGAGAGGAGGATCTGATGGTTCACAGTATCAAAGGCAGCAGACAGGTCTAGAAGGACAAGAGCAGAGGAGAGAGAGTTAGCTTTAGCAGTGCGGAGAGCCTCCGTGACACAGAGAAGAGCAGTCTCAGTTGAATGACCAGTCCTGAAACCTGACTGGTTTGGATCAAGAAGGTCATTCTGAGAGAGATAGCAAGAGAGTTGGCTAAAGACGGCACGCTCAATAGTTTTGGAAAGAAAAGAAAGAAGGGATACTGGTCTGTAGTTGTTGACATCAGTGGGATCGAGTGTTGGTTTTTTGAGAAGGGGAGCAACTCTCGCTCTCTTGAAGACGGAAGGGACATGGCCAGCGGTCAAGGATGAGTTGATCAGCGAGGTGAGGTAGGGGAGAAGGTCACCGGAGATGGTCTGGAGAAGAGAGGAGGGGATGGGGTCAAGCGGCAGGTTGTTGGGCGGCCTGCAGTCACAAGTCGCAGGATTTTATCTGGAGAGAGAGGGGAGAAAGAAGTCAAAGCATAGGGTAGGGCAGTGTGAGTAGGACCAGCAGTGTCATTAGACTTAACAAACGAGGATCGAAGTCATCCACAGAGAGAGAGGAGGGGGGGGGGGGCGGGGGGGGGGAGGATTCAGGAGGGAGGAAAATGTGGCAAAGAGCTTCCTAGGGTTAGAGGCAGATGCTTGGAATTTAGAGTGGTAGAAAGTGGCCTTAGCAGCAGAAACAGATGAAGAAAATGTAGAGAGGAGGGAGTGAAAAAATGCCAGGTCGGCAGGGAGTTTAGTTTTCTTCCATTTCCGCTCCGCTGCCCGGAGCTCTGTTCTGTGAGCTCGCAATGAGTCATCAAGCCACGGAGCTGGAGGGGAGGACCGAGCCGGCCGGGAGGATAGGGGACACAGAGAGTCAAAGGATGCAGAAAGGGAGGAGAGGAGGGTTGAGGAGGCAGAATCAGGAGATTGGAGGGAGAAGGATTGAGCAGAGGGAAGAGATGATAGGATGGAAGAGGAGAGAGTAGTGGGAGAGAGAGAGCGAAGGTTGCGGCGGCGCATTACCATCTGTGTAGGGGCAGAGTGAGTAGTGTGGGAGGAGAGCGAGAGAGAAAAGGAAACAAAGTAGTGGTCGGAGACATGGAGGGGAGTTGCAGTGAGATTAGTAGAAGAGCAGCATCTAGTAAAGATGAGGTCAAGCGTATTGCCTGCCTTGTGAGTAGGGGGGGATGGTGAGAGGGTGAGGTCAAAAGAGGAGAGAAGTGGAAAGAAGGAGGCAGAGAGAAATGAGTCAAATGTGGACATAGGGAGGTTGAAATCCCCCAAAACTGTGAGGGGTGAGCCATCCTCAGGAAAGAACTTATCAAGGCGTCAAGCTCATTGATGAACTCTCCAAGGGAACCTGGAGGGCGATAGATGACAAGGATATTAAGCTTAAATGGGCTAGTGACTGTGACAGCGTGGAATTCAAATGAGGAGATAGACAGATGGGTTAGGGGAAAAATTGAGAATGTCCACTTGGGAGAGATGAGGATTCCTGTGCCACCACCCCTCTGACCAGATGCTCTCGGGGTATGCGAGAACACATGGTCAGACGAGGAGAGAGCAGTAGGAGTAGCAGTGTTTTCAGTGGTAATCCATGTTTCCGTCAGCGCCAGGAAGTCAAGGGACTGGAGATTAGCATAGGCTGGGATGAAGTCAGCTTTGTTGGCAGCAGAACGGCAGTTCCAGAGGCTGCCTGAGACCTGGAACTCCAGGTGTGGGGTGCGTGCAGGGACCACCAGGTTAGAGAGGCAGCAGCCACGCGGTGTGGGGCGTTTGTGTAGCCTGTGCAGAGAGGAGAGAACAGGGATAGGCAGAGGCATAGTTGACAGGCTGTAGCAAATGGCTACAATAATGCAGAGGAGATCGGAATGAAATGAACTAAACATCGGGAGAGTAGAGAGCAGGGCCTCCCTCACCAAAAACTTCTACTTCTAACAACTATAATTGTTTCACTGAACCACCCGAACAAAAACTCTACCAACTTCCACCTTTAGAAATCAGAATTGTTGTGAACCACAGCGGTTCAATGTTTAAAGGAATAGACTCAACCCACTTTATTCAGCTAGCTAACTATGACACCATAGCTGTCATTGTAGCTTAGGGCGGCATGTAGCTTAGTGGTTAAGAGCGTTGTGCCAGTAACCGAAAGGTCGCTGGTTCTAATCCCCCAGCCGACTAAGTGAAAAATCTGTCGATGTGCCCTTGAGCAAGGCACTTAACCCTAATTGCTCCTGTAAGTCGCTCTGGATAAGAGCGTCTGCTAAATGACTTAAATGTAAATGTAATAGCTAACTAGCATGCTAGCATCCAAAAAACACACAGTTTAGCACCAACACTTGCATCCAAAAACACACAGTTTAGCGCCAACACTTGGTCACAACAAACCACCAATACTACCCACCATTGTGACCTGTACGCTCTCGTTGGCTGGCCCTCACTACATATTCGTCGCCAAACCCACTGGCTCCAGGTCATCTATAAATCACTTCTAGGCAAATCCCCACCTTATCTTAGCTCATTGGTCACCATAGCAACACCCACCCGTAGTATGCGTTCCAGCAGGTATATCTCACTGGTCATCCCCAAAGCCAACACCTCCTTTGGCCGCCATTCCTTCCAGTTCTCTGCTGCAAATGACTGGAACGAACTGCAAAAATCTCTGAAGCCGGAGACACTTATCTCCCTCACTAACTTTAAGCATCAGTTGTCAGAGCAGCTTACCGATCACTGCACCTGTACACAGCCCATCTGTAATTAGCCCACCCAACTACCTCATCCCCATATTGTTATTTACATTGTTATTTATTTTGCTCATTTGCACCCCAGTATCTCTATTTGCACATCATCTTCTGCACATCTATCACTCCAGTGTTAATACTAAATTGTAATTATTTTGCACTATGGCCTATTTATTGCCTTACCTCCATAACTTACTACATTTGCACACACTGTATATAGATGTTCTACTGTGTTATTGACTGTACGCTACGTTTTGTTTATTCCATATGTAACTCTGTGTTGTTGTTGTTTTTATTGCACTGCTTTGCTTTATCTTGGCCAGGTCGCAGTTGTAAATGAGAAGTTGTTCTGAACTGGTTTACCTGGTTAAATAAAGGTGAGAAAAAAAATTAAAGGCCTGCGTTCAAGACAAGTGCTAGGGGGCGCTGTCGGTACTGGGACCGGGTGCAACCCATTTGATGATCGACATATTCATCAGCGTTTACAACATGACTCAAAATGGCTGTGCACGTCTCCACTAAACGGCTACTGAAAGAAAGAAACCAAATCACACCAACTATTTGTTAGACATCTGTTAAGGTTTGTTTTTCAACGAATAATATCTAACGTTAAATTTTTATGTTAAATTCTTTCAGCATGCTGCTGTGTATAAGAAGGGCTTTTGGTGAGTATGCTAGCTAGCCGTCTTCACACTATATAACTGTTACTAGCGAGGACTAAACCTAACCCCCGCTAGGCTAACGAGGCTACTTTGAACAAAATAGCCAGCTGCTAATCATCTTGCTTGGTATGCCATTTATCTAACTTGCTAGCCTAAACCAAGTTATGATAGTGCTACTAGCTAACTATTATCAAATGATTACTGGCACGGTGTCAAGCTAACCTATCTTACTGTTAACGTTACCTAGCTAGCTAAGTAATTTATCTTAGCTAGCTAAGGAACTGTTTGCCAACTTTTAGCTAGCTAGTTAGCCACAACTGCACTCCCTAAAAGCGACCCGCGTTATCTGCTTTACTCACAATGTTTAGGGAACTACCTAATATCGCTATTGGAAAGATGAGATCAAGGTTGAAGTCCAGTTGACTTGTGAAAGGTTTACTGCATTGTCTCATTCACTGGTGAGTCAACAGAGATAAATGGCTGGATAAACCAAGCCTGGCCAATGTATTCATCACGAAGTCAGTTATAGCTATTTAGCTAGCTAATCCCTTGTTTAGCAGACCTTGCCGACAGAAAAGTAGGTGCCCACAGAAGTAGGTGCCCACAGTCGACCTATGCCGTATCTGTTGGGGTAGGTAGTTTAAATGACTGGAAGACTGAGTATGAGGTCCAGCTCTAGACACAGTTGAACTTGAACTAGCATGCTTCAATTGGTAATGTAAGGAGATTAAGATTGGCAACTAGATAAGCACCTTTGACCTCTTTTAAACAGTGTCTTAGTGGTTGCTAATTATAAATGGGCCAAATTTGTGTTTAGTTGTTGAACATGAGCATTGCCCTTGCCCATTGTTTCAGTCTCTTAGTGGTCATTTTATTGTGTGACAGGTTTCAGCCATTTTGGACTATAGAGAATAATTCCACTATGACAAGCTTCCAGCCTTGGTTGTAATTGTGGCGCACATCTCACGCACCTGCATGGGGAGGATGGAGAGCGATTGCAGAATCCCTATGTTGTGCTTGAGGCCCAGAGTCCTGGCCTTGCATGCACTCTTCTGGGGTTTGGTGTCTCTCAGGTGAGTGTACTGGTGTTATACTTCTTGCTTATAATGCTTTATGTTCTGCATTGCTTCAGAGCTTAACCCTCATTACTGTCTCTTTCAGAGTGTTTGGTGCAGCTCTGCTGAGTGAGGAGAAGACCACAGGTACTATACTTTTTATCTGTATTTAAGAATGAGTTGGAGAACTTGAGTACAGGATTGATGTGGTGCTGCAAACCCAATGCCAGTGCTATACATTGTTCGTATAGCAAGTTAGCAACACATTTCACAGCGAACCAAATGTTTGTGTGTGGGGCTGATATGTATATTTACTATTTGCAACATTTATCAATGTTCCAGTAGAAGCTCCAGTTTACTTCACTCCTGTCAGGGTAAAAAAAAAAGTGTGCCTCTGTTCATGTCATTCAGCACCATTTCTGTCAACTATTTCCAGCTGATTTCAGATACTGATTCAAGGCTTTTTGTTTCGCCTGTGTTCTAGTGGCCAGGCCGGTAACCACCCCCTGTTGGCAAATGGAGGAGTTTGTGGTTGCGGTGGAATGCTCCCGGTGCAACGCTTTCCAGTCGGTGAGATCTTTGTCCATCTCCCTCCCCGCACTTTTCCTGACATTTCCTTTAATCCGCCAATAGTTCTCTGCTTAATAGACAGTTGTGAATGTATGCCATTAATGTACAGTCGTGGTGAAAAGTTTTGAGAATGACACAAGTATTGGTCTTCACAAAGTTCGCTGCTTCAGTGTTACAATATATTTTTGTCAGATGTTACTATGGTATACTGAAGTATAATTACAAGCATTCCACAAGTGTCAAAGGCTTTTATTGACAATTACATTAAGTTTATGCAAAGAGTCAATATTTGCAGTGTTGACTCTTCTTTTTCAAGACCTCTGCAATCTGCCCTGGCATGCTATCATTGAACCTCTGTGCCACATCCTGACTGATGGCAGCCCATTCTTGCATAATCAATGCTTGGAGTTTGTCAGAATTTGTGGGTTTTTGTTTGTCCGTCCGCCTCTTGAGGATCGACCACAAGTTCTCAATGGGATTAAGGTCTGGGTAGTTTCCTGGCCATGGACCCAAACTGTCGATGTTTTGTTCCCCGAGCCACTTAGTTATCACTTTTGCCTTATGGCAAGGTGCTCCATCATGCTGGAAAAGGCATTGGTCGTCACCAAACTGTTCTTGGATGGTTGGTAGAAGTTGCTCTCGGAGGATGTGTTGGTACCATTCTTTATTCATGGCTGTGTTCTTAGGCAAAATTGTGAGTGAGCCCACTCCCTTGGCTGAGAAGCAACCCCACACATGAATGGTCTCAGGATGCTTTACTGTTGGCATGACACAGGACTGATGGTAGCGCTCACCTTGTCTTCTCCGGACAAGGTGTTTTCCGGATGCCCCAAACAATCGGAAAGGGGATTCATCAGAGACAATGACTTTACCCCAGTCCTCAGCAGTCCAATCCCTGTACCTTTTGCAGAATATCAGTCTGTCCCTGATGTTTTTCCTGGAGAGAAGTGGCTTCCTCGCTGCCCTTCTTGACACCAGGCCGTCCTCCAAAAGTATTTGCCTCACTGTGCGTGCAGATGCACTCACACCTGCCTGCTGCCATTCCTGAGCAAGCTCTGCACTGGTGGTGCCCCGATCCCGCAGCTGAATCAACTTTAGGAGACAGTCCTGGCGCTTGCTGGACTTTCTTGGGCACCCTGACACCTTCTTCACAACAATTGAACCTCTCTCCTTGAAGTTCTTGATGATCTGATAAATGGTTGATTTAGGTGCAATATCCTTGCCTGTGAAGCCCTTTTTGTGCAAAGCAATGATGACGGCACGTGTTTCCTTGCAGTTAACCATGGTTAACAGAGGAAGAACACTGATTTCACGCACCACCCTCCTTTTAAAGCTTCCAGTCTGTTATTCTAACTCAATCAGCATGACAGAGTGATCTCTAGCCTTGTCCTCGTCAACACTCTCACCTGTGTTAGTGGTCCTCTGTAGCTCAATTGGTAGAGCATGGCAAGTCGCTTTGGATAAAAGCGTCTGCTAAATGGCTTATTATTATTATTATTATTATTATTTAACGAGAGAATCACTGACATGATGTCAGCTGGTCCTTTTGTGGCAGGGCTGAAATGCAGTGGAAATGTTTTTTGGGGATTAAGTTCATTTTCATGGCAAAGAGGGACTTTGCAATTAATTGCAATTCATCTGATCACTCTTCATGACATTCTGGAGTATATGCAAATTGCCATCATCAAAACTGAGGCAGCAGACTTTGTGAAAATTAGTATTTGTGTCATTCTCAAAACATTTGACCACGACTGTAGTCATGGTTTATGCCACATCACAGTCCAAATGGTTGCATATGACAGTGGACTTCAAGCTGCAACAAGGCCTTTTAACTGTAAGCTATAGAGCTTACTGGGATACTCTTATCTGATCATCTGATTTTAAAGTGGGCAGGTTTACGCTAGCTCAGTGAAAGAGAAAAACACTGTCTGGTATTGTAACCTGGTTTAGGATGCTTCCCAGCCAAAATAGAACCTTCTCTCCAACTTTTCTGTTGGACTTGTAAATTAGGTGTAAACCCATTAAATTCCCTTGCACCTTCCACCAACACATTACTGTCATGAAAACATTGTTTTCTGTGTTTGTTGATGCATCATTTTCAACAGTTGGTAGACTAGGCTGCTTAATAGACAGTTGTGAATGATAGGATATTGGGGTGGCAGGTAGCTTAGTGGGTAAGAGCGAAAAATCTGTCGATGTGCGCTTAAGCAAGGCACTTAACCCTAATTGCTCCTGTAAGTCGCTCTGGATAAGAGCGTCTGCTAAATGACTCAAATGTAAAAATGTAAATGTAGGCGCCCTTAACTATCCTGTCCTCTCTCTAGAAGTCATGGGCAGCATGTATTCAGACGGGATACGCGGAGAGGATCAACTGCACCAAGTCTAATAAAGATGAGTACAAGAGGTGATTCCCCACACCTACAGCTGCTATTGACATTTCTTTGTGATCCTTGCTGTGATGCCGAGCAGTCTCTTGATTTGACAGGTTGGATCCAGATCTTGTGTGCATTGGATGTAATTAACCTGAGTAAATAGTTGACTAATCATTTAAAAAAGTACACTAGGAAGCGCTTTTTCATAATAGATTACAGGAGACGAACTCAAATGTTTAGACTACTACACAGACTGATTTTTAAGGTTGAATGAAGATGTACAGTATTTATGATGGTTTTTACATACAGTTGAAGTCGGAAGTTTACATATACCTTAGCCAAATACATTTAAACTCAGTTTTTCACAATTCCTGACATTTAATCCTAGTAAAAATTCCCTGTCTTAGGTCAGTTAGGATCACCACTTTTATTTTGAGAATGTGAAATGTCAGAATAATAGTAGAGTGATTTTATTTCTTTCATCACATTCCCAGTGGGAATTAGTATTTGGTAGCATTGCCTTTAAATTGTTTAACTTGGGTCAAACATTTCGGGTAGCCTTCCACAAGCTTCCCACAATAAGTTGGGTGAATTTTGGCCCATTCCTCCTGACAGAGCTGATGTAACGGAGTCAGGTTTGTAGGCCTCCTTGCTCGCACACGCCTTTTCAGTTCTGGCCACACGTTTTCTATAGGCTTGAGGTCAGGACTTTGTGATGGCCACTCCAATACCTTGACTTTGTTGTCCTTAAGCCATTTTGCCACAACTTTGGAAGTATGCTTGGGGTCATTGTCCATTTGGAAGACCCATTTGCGACCAAGCTTTAACTTCCTGACTGATGTCTTGATGTTGCTTCAATATATTCACAACATTTTCCTTCCTCATGATGCCATCTATTTTGTGCAGTGCACCAGTCCCTCATGCAGCAAAGCACCCCCACAGCATGATGCTGCCACCCCCGTGCTTCACGGTTGGGATGGTGTTCTTCGGCTTGCAAGCAACCCCCTTTTTCCTCCAAACATAACGATGGTCATTATGGCCAAACAGTTATATTTTTGTTTCATCAGACCAGAGGACATTTCTCCAGAAAGTACGATCTTTGTCCCCATGTGCAGTTGCAAACCATAGTCTGGCTTTTTTATGGCAGTTTTGGAGCAGTGGCTTCTTCCTTGCTGAGCGGCCTTTCTGGTTATGTCGATATAGGACTTGTTTTACTGTGGATATAGATACTTTTGTTCCTGTTTCCTCCAGCATCTTCACAAGGTCCTTTGCTGTTCTGGGATTGATTTGCACTTTTCACACCAAAGTATGTTAAGCTCTAGGAGACAGAACGCGTCTCCTTCCTGAGCGGTATGACGGCTGCGTGGTCCCATAGTGTTTATACTTGCGTACTATTGTTTGTACAGATGAACGTGGTAACTTCAGGCATTTGGAAATTGCTCCCAAGGATGAACCAGACTTGTGGAGGTCTACGTTTTTTTTCCTGAGGTCTTGGCTCATTTCTTTTGATTTTCCCATGATGTCAAGCAAAGAGGCACTGAGTTTGAAGGTAGGCCTTGAAATACATCCACAGGTACACCTCCAATTGACTCAAATGATGTCAATTAGCCTATCAGAAGCTTCTAAAGCCATGACATCATTTTGTGGAATTTTCAAAGCTGTTTAAAGGCACAGTGAACTTAGTGTATGTAAACTTCTGACCCACTGGAATTGTGATACAGTGAATTATAAGTGAAATAATCTGTCTGTAAACAATTGTTGGAAAAATTACTTGTCATGCAGAAAGTAAATGTCCTAACCGACTTGCCAAAACTGTAGTTTGTTAACAAGAAATTTGTGGAGTAGTTGAAAAACAAGTTTTTTTATGACTCCAACCTAAGGGTATGTAAACTTCCGATTTCAACTGTATCATAAAAGCTATTCAGTTAAGCTAACATTTCCATAATAAAGACGCTTGTTTCCCTTCCACCCCATAGCTGCCGCTCTACCCTGATGGAGGAACACCTTTTCTGGAAGTTTGAGGGAGCTATGTTGGGCCTCACCATACTGTTTGCCCTCGTAGTGGTCGCTAGGCAACGTTCGCTGGACCGGCTTGCCTCCGAGAAAGTCCGCAGGCAGATCGAGTCCATCTAGCACAGTACACCAGAGTGAAGAAACTAGTAGACCTCACCAGTGGTTCAGCTCATAATTTCAAACTCTTAAGAATTGACACCACATTTCAACAGCATGGAGGTCTGGATAACGTTATGTCCGACAATGGGCCAGACTTACTGGAAAACGGTTTCTAAATTTTGTGGTTGAAGAAATGAAAATGAAATCAAGATTGACAGTGAAACTCCAGCCCTAATTTTAACCTGCCAAAGCACAAATGATGAACAGTGTCTGGCGTTTGTCAATGGAATATTAATTCCCTAAAGGGAATGGGTCTTCTGAGTAGTGAACTTGCGGTACTTTGATTTAGACGAAGTCTGTGAAATTGATGAACGTTGGGAACTGACTGCATTTTAAGTAGCAGACAACTGATAGATTCGTTCAAGCCAAATACATGTTTCTTTGACATTTCATTTAAAAAGTGGATTGAAGCTTGTGTTGAATTTACAGAAATGTCTGACAAATGACAGACAAGTTTCTGGCATGTGTTTCTGTTCTCTGAGAGAACCAAGAATATAATCTAGTGTCAAATGCCCTGTCTGACTTGGACTAATAACTAGGGTGTGAAAGGTGAAATCTTGTGTGTTTGGAGATTTCGGACATGATTCTAAATGTAAACTAACATTTGACTACTATAGTTTTTGATAGGATATAGAGTTATCAAATAAGGATATAGAGTTATCCTATATACACGACACACTGCACATCTTTATTCTGCTTTCATTCATTTAAAAACCTTGTTGGATTTCTGCTGATAGACTAACTTTTTTCCACCTAGTAATGTTGGTCTCGGAGCTCAGTGATTGGCAGTATTTTCCAGATTTGTTCAAGCTAATGATTTTCAACTGTAAATCATGTATTTTTAGGAAAGATGTGAGATGTTTTCCAGCCTCAGCAGCTGACAGATGAAAATTCTTTAAGAATAAATGGGAAAACACTTCATCTGGGTTTTTGTTGTAATTAAATAGGTCTACATTTCAGGGATATAATAGACAACACAAGTTGAACATTAAATATGAGAAAGATGCTTCCCAGAGTCAACTTGGACTACCGTATTTGTATCAAGACACTTATGTACCGTCACAGTGTTAATTTTATTTTTCTCTTGAAAATGTACATCTATTTAATAATCAACCCAGTTTGAGGGGAGACCGAAAACAGCACAACTGACATGGGCAATCTAGATTGAGCTCAACAGACTCCTCAGAAATAAGAAAGAGAAAAGTACATGACAAAGTTGATTCCATTGTTTAGTTTGTTTGTGATAGTTTGCACTAATCAAACAAGGGCACTGAAGTTGGTGTGGGTTTCCAAGTAACCACTAGATGTCGCTCTAGTACCACAGAATCAAACTGAAGGCTAACTTGAGAAACTTGGGGCCCTACTCAATCAAAGCTGGTAGACCTAAATGGATATCCCAGAAACCTGGTTACTGGTTTTGATTGGGCCCTTGGTTTATAAAATACTAAAATGAGAAACGGGGACATGGTTAGGCTACTAAAAACAAGTTGTCCAACTGCATTTTTGACAAAACAGCTCAACAAAAAAGCAGCTCTAGGAAGCATATAATATAGGCCTAAACCTGTTAGTGACAACCAATAATGTACCAGAATTGTGATTCTCCTTCTGCGTAGACGTTGACATACTCCAGGAAGGCAGTTGAACATATTTCTCAAAACTGAGGAAGACCATTCCATCGGATGCTGTCCCCTGTCATGGAACCAGAATAGAAAAGTGAAAATGACAGCGATATTGGGGCCGAGACCATAAGTCAAATCATCATAGTCCTCTTACCATTAAACAATTATACTAGACTGAAATAAATGGAAAAGGGCTAAGCACAGGCGAAAACCTGGTGGTCTGCTTTCCAACAGACATTGGGAGACAAATTCGCCTTTCAGCAGGACAATGACTTAAACACAAGGCCAAATATACACTGGAGTTGCTTACATTTTAGTCATTCAGCAGACGCTCTTATCCAGAGCGACTTACAGGAGCAATTAGGGTTAAGTGCCTTGCTCAAGGGCACATCGACAGATTTTTCACCTAGTCGGCTCAGGGATTAGAACCAGCGAGCTTTCGGTTACTGGCACAACGCTCTTAACCACTAAACTACCTGCCGCCCCAAGATGATACTGAATGTTCCTGAGTAGCCTAGTTAGTTTTGACTTAAATTGGTTTGACAAGCTATGGCAAGACTTGTAAATAGCTGTCTAGCAATGATCAACAACCAACTTGACAGAGCTTGAATTTTTTTTAAAAAGAATAATGGGTAAAATATTGTATAATCCAGGTGTGCAAAGCTCTTGGAGGCTTACCCAGAAAGACTCATAGCTGTAATCGCTGCCAAAGGGGATTCTAACGTATTGACTCAGGGGTGTGAATACTTATGTAAATTAGATATTTCTGTATTTCATTTTCAGTAATTTGCGAAATTATCTGAAAACATGTTTTCACTTTGTCATTATGGGGTATTGTGTTTATATGGGTGAGAAAAACAATTTAATCAATTTTGAATTCAGGCTGTAACACAGCAAATGTGGAATAAATCAAGTGGTATGAATACTTTCGGATGGCACTGTTAAAGGTCCAATGCAGCTGTTTTTATCACTATCGAATCAATTCTGGGTAACAACCTTACTAGCTAGGTTTCCATCCGTTTGGCGACAGATTTTCATGCGAATAGTCAAAAAATCTGCATAAAAAGAATATGCGCATTTTCCCACCGTGTGTTTCCATCAAATTGAGTTGTTGCTGATAAAAGCGTGATGAGGTAGTGCACATAAAAATAACTTTTGCCTTAAATTCCCATGTACCCAAAAAATATATTTTAAATAGGTTTCCATCGCATTTTAAACTCTGATGGTTTTGGCACAATACATTTTGCATTATATAGCAAATGTGCCCACCCTGGTCTTGGCACGTGCGCTCTAGCCAACAGCTTGCTGATACAGTGCGGGTACAGCCTACTACATGAGATTATTATGGACGAAAGCGCTAGATTATTTGTCAAATGGCAGCCAAGCATCATGTCACCAAAATAAAACCCTCTATTTATTGCAAAGGAGCATCAAGCTCATCACCGTGCACATTCACCACCCTGTGAAGTTCTTAATTTATTTAATCTGTAGCCTAATAAACTGCATGCTTTCCTGAGTTGTAGTGGGAGGACCACACACCATATCATTGCATGATTCCCAAGTTTACTTCGATATGATGGTTATTATATCAATATTTGCGCATAAAGGTGTATCCACCATCATTTCTCGCATAACTAATTTAACAGACACAAAGATCACACCTTGTCTAGCTTTTTTTTGTTGTCGACATTTGGAATGTTTACCAAGAAATTAGCTGTTTCCATCAGGTCTGTCTTTTTTTTTGTCTGACATGTACAGTGCCTTCAGAAAGTATTCATACTTCTTGACTTATTCCACGTTTTCGTTATTACATGCTGAATTCAAAATGGATTACATGTATTTTTTTCTCACCCATCTACACACAATACCCTATAATGACAAAGTGAAAATATGTTTTTAGTAATTTTAGCACATTTATTGAAAATGAAATACAGAAATATGATTTACATAAGTATTCACACCCCTGAGTCTATACTTTGTAGAAGCACCTTTGGCGGCAATTACAGCTTTGAGTCATCTTGTATCAGCTTTGCACATCTGGATTTGGGGATTTCCTCCCATTCTTCCTCAACCTCTTAAATAGTGGTCCTCTCTGTAGCTCAGCTGGTAGAGCACGGCGCTTGTAACGCCAAGGTAGTGGGTTCGATCCCCGGGACCACCCATACACAAAAAATGTATGCACGCATGACTGTAAGTCGCTTTGGATAAAAGCGTCTGCTAAATGGCATATTATTATTTATTATTTAAATTAGATTGGGAGTGGCGTGAACAGCAATCTTCAAGTCTTTCAACTCTGAAGCAGGTTCTCATCAAGGATTTGCCTTTATTTGGCTCCATTCATTGTTCCCTCTATCCTTACCAGTCTCCCGGACCCTGCCGCTGAAAAGCATCCCCATAGCATGATGCTGCCACCACGCTTCACGGTAGGGATGGTGTTAGATGGGTGATGAGCTGTGCCTGGTTTTCTCCAGACATAGCACTTTGCATTCAGGCCAAAGAGTTTTTGTATCATCAGACCCCAGAATATTTTGCCTTATGCTCTAAGTCTTTCATGTGCGTTTTTGCAAACTCCAGAAGTGCTTTCTTCTCAGGTGTGGCTTCCATCTCACCAGTCTCCCATAAAGCCCAGATTGGTGAGGTGCTGTAGAGACTGATGTCCTTCTGGCAGGTTCTGCAGTCTCAGCCAAGGCACTCTGTAATTCTGTCAGAGTGGTTATTTGTCACCTCCCCGACCAAGGTCCTTCTTGCCTGGTTGCTCAATTTGGTTAGACGGACAGCTCTAGGTAGTCCCATATTTTTCACATTTCCCAATGATGGAGACCATTACATTTACGTCATTTAGCAGACGCTCTTATCCAGAGTGACTTACAGTTAGTGAGTGCATACATTTTCATACTGGGAATCGAACCCACAACCCACAACCCTGGCGTTGCAAGCGCCATGCTCTACCAACTGAGCTACAAGGGGCCCACTGTGCTCTTGGAAACTTTCAACACTCTACAAATTGTTTTATACCGTTCCCCAGATACTATATATGCCTTATCACAATTCTGTCTCGGAGCTCTAGGGATAGTTCATTGGACTTCATGGTATAGTTTCTGCTCTGACATGCACTGTTGGCTGTGGGACCTTATATAGACAGGTGTGTTTCTTTCTAAATCATGTCCAAACAATTGAATTGGTCACAGGTGGACTCCAATCAAGTTGTAGTGGCGTCTCAAGGATGATCAAAGGAAATTGGATGCACCTGAGCTCAATTTGGAGCGTCATAGAAAGGGGTTTTAATACTCGTGTAAATTAGATATTTCTGTATTTAATTTTCAATACCTTTTCAAAAATGACTAAAAACATGTTTTCATTTAGTCATTATGGGGTATTGTGTGTAGATGGGTGAAATGAAAAACATCTATTTAATCAATTTTGAATTCAGGCTGTAACACAAAATGTGGAATAAGTCAAGGGGTATGAATACTTTCTGAAGGCACTGTACTTTACTTGCATAAAAAGGTTGGATGGAAACCTGGTTTCTATGATTGTTTTCAATTAAAATGGTCAAAAAGAAATAAAAATAGCTTCTTAGAAAAAAGCTTTCTCTAGCAAGAATTTTGCCAGGACTGTCTGAGAGTGGTCTGAGTGGTGGGGAAAACTGAAAACTAGCTGTTATTGGCAGAGAGATTTGGAGCTCTCTTTCTTATTGGTCTATCCACTAATTTACCACCTGGTGATGTCACCAGGCAGGCCAATACTCCATCCCACCAAAACAAGCTGAAATTTCAGGCGGTCTTTTCAAACAGCTCTTACACTTAAAGGGCATTATCATAATTTTAACAATTTCAAAGTATTATGTCAACCTTATAGTGTGGAACTGTATATATATAAAATACAAGAAAATCACGTTTTTGAATGCACCTGGCCTTTAATATCTGAAATCTGCCGGTTAAAAAGGCCATAGGTAATCTTTATATCCCATTATTATATTATTTTCATATAATCTCAGCCAAACAGGTTGATATAAGCTATTAGTTATAGAAATGTGCGTCATATAATTTTTGTATATACACTGGCTCATTATCCATTGACTGAGACAGGCTCCAAATCCATCTGGTATTAAAGATCACCCCTTGTCCATCCAGGTCAACTCAAATTTTGAGAGATTAATTCATATTTGATTGGAAAGTCTTATTATGATGGCAGCACAATTAATGATAGGCCTAGTCATTATGGAGCGAAGACATCTGCAGCAAGACAGCAGTGACTGCATCTCTCGGCAAGATCTATTGCATCAATGTAAAATTACTTCAAAACGTGCAGTTATAACCTTGGTCTTTTATCGATGAACTAAAATGTGAGCAAAATTCCGATCTAAAAAATGTTGGCCTAATAGAATGAGCATTTTAGACAGCATTTCTGATGGGTGAAACTTAATCTAATTTTTCTATTTTCAATGTCATTATAAGCAACCCATTTGGAGTTTAACCTAAACTGATTTAAATGTAGCTGTAGGTCTACAAATGCAATAGGAAAATAGTAAGTGAACTTTTTATTTAATAGAACATCCAGGCTCTGTCGTAGCCGGCCGCGACCGGGAGACCCATGGGGCGGCGTACAATTGGTCCAGCGTCGTCCAGGGTAGGGGAGGGAATGGCCGGCAGGGATGTAGCTCAGTTGGTAGAGCATGGCGTTTGCAACGCCAGGGTTGTGGGTTCGATTCCCACGGGGGGCCAGTATGAAAAAAAAAAAGAATAATGTATGCACTCACTAACTGTAAGTCGCTCTGGATAAGAGCGTCTGCTAAATGACTAAAATCTAAATCTAGTAGTCTACAATGCAAGAGGACGCATGGAGCTTTATGAATATGTTTTATTAAACAAATAAATACATTTACTTATACTTCGAGAAGACAAAGGAATTCAAGACAAAGTCATGCATGCAGACTGACATTTACATTGGTAACGGCATAGGTGCATGGGAGTATCACACGCCTGGGTCTCGGAAATGTTGTGCGCCTGAGGGTATAGGTCTGTGACCGGGGTCAGTAACAACGCAGGAAGAATGTGTTGCACGCGGTGCCTCGCAGACAGTCACAAAGCCTTCCGATGCGCGGCCCGTGCTTCATAGCGCACCGCTCTCCAATATCACACTGTATGTATGAGAGAAGAGAGAGATTAGCAAAATTCGTTAGGTCCTACTTGCACATTTCTGTTCCAAAATAAAAGCATCTTCAACGTAACAGACAACTTCTCACAGCACCATAGGCTATGCTAGCTCTCCAAATATATGGCTCTCGTACAACCTGTTGCGTTTTGGAAATTAGAGATATAAGGTAGATGTGAAAGAACGAAGGTTATTCTTGACTTAATTTACTTACCCGTGGAATCAGACTTGCTTTTTTCTCCACTGATAGACCTATCCTGTTGTCTTGCTGCACGCCTTCCAGAAGCCCCTCGAACGCATCAGACTGAAAAAAAGTCACCAATAAAGATTATTAGAACCATCTTTATTATCAGCCCAAATAAATATTGCATGTCATCGATATTTCGACATTAGCTTGAAGGGGGGAGACGATAGAATCGGCTACTTGACATTGGGCAAGAATGGGCACAAATTTATTATGTCGATAACATAGCTAATTTGAATAGGTAAGGTAAAAGTAGACTATCCTCCACCTCTATCAAATAATAGTCACACATCAGTTGATGGTAAAAATTGTGTGTATATATATATATATATATATATATATATATATAATACTTGAACAAGTTCTGGATTGGTTTGAATCGAAACAAACTGCTTTATCCTAAAATCCTAAAAAAGGACAAAAGCAAGTAAATTAGTAAAGTGACTTACCAAATCTCTGGTGACATATCCCAGTGGAAATTGTTCCTCTTGTGAAGAGAGTCTGTCGTCTGACATCTGCCCCTGGCAAATTACACTGAAGACGGACAGACAGACGCCCAGGTAGACGAGTGCTCCGACCCTGATGCTGTCCATGGTGCTCAAAATCTTGCGCTTGAACTGAGAGAAAGTGAAACAACTCGAACTTCAGCTGAGTTCTCTTGGCAACTATCCGTGTCTTTGGTATTTTTCTCTCCCTTTCTATTTCGCAGCTCAGGTCCTCACTCTTTCTGCTCATGGGTGCTGTACTTGCTTTTGTTGTTGCTTTGAAACTTTTGTAGGCTATTTATACAGAACCAGCCCCGCGCTGCTCCGGTTTCGCTCAAACGTCATCACCTTCGTCTTTTTTGAACGGATTGGGTGAGATGGGTATCTCGGTGAATGATATTAAACATTCACGCCACGCCAAGGAATTCATCCACCAGGGTGAAACTTTAGGAGCCTATCCATATATTACCATCATGTTTATATTGTGCCTCCAAAGTTGTACATAGTAAATGTAAATCTGTGACACTCAAATTAGTATGATATGTTACTTTGTTATGGTTGCATAAGACAGAAGGTTACTTATGCTAAAACGAGAAGAAGGAGGTTGGTCGGGGAGGATGAACGCCATGCAACACAAACGTCTAGCAACTCAAAGGTTGTGTGTTCAAATCCCATCACATACAACTTTAGTAATTTAGCACATTTATTTACAACTTTTTCGCTACTTTGCAACTACTTAGAATGTTAGCTAACCCTTCCCCCTAACCCTAACCGTATCCCCTAACTCCTAACCTTAACCTCTAACCCTAGCTAATGTTAGCCACCTAGCTAACATTAGCCACAACAAATTGGAATTCATAATATATCACACATTTTGCAAATGTTTTACATATTGTTCGAATTGCAATTCGTAACATATCATACAAAATGGATGATGGACAACCACAAATTAATACATACCATACGAAACGTAACATATCATCCTAAATGAAGGGAGACAGATTTACATTCACTATGTTACATCTATCCCTGAGTCCAGGTTGAAAGTTGTCATGTTACCATATTGCTATGGTGCTACATCAGATAAGAGAAGTCAACATTCTGAATAATGCTTTATGATTGATGTTGTTCTCATTTATTCAATAGGCAACAGTCCGAAGGAAGGAAACTACAATATGCCTTGTATAAACGCATATCAAGCACAACTTACTTTGCAATAGTTTCATTTTGATTAATTATGTTAATGAACTTGTGGATCACTTGGAAATAAAGTGCCTTCTGATACCATCACAAATAGGACAAGATTATGTAATATAGCCTAAAATGAGATTACTGATAATCTCATTATCAGTAAAAAGTGACCTACACCTGTGACCCATAGTCACCTTACAATAGGCTTAACTGACATGATTAAATCAAAGGCCATATTACTCTTCAATATCTAGGCCTAAATGCACATGAGGGGTTTATGGATGTTTCTCAGTGTTGTGTGACTGACTCTGCCTATAGTGCCTAAAGTACCTAAGCAAATGGCATATATGTAATTTGCTGGGATACTTCATGCATGGCTCCCTTGCTAGACGGTGACATCACTCTAGGCGTTGAGGCTTGAATTATTGCCTCTGGAATTCCCTCTCTTTAATGTTATGCTAGTGTGATTGAATCCAATAAGTATCTGCTAGTGTGTAAGGGCGATCAAGGCTATGGTTAGAGAATAGGTCCACCATAAATGTCAAATGACTCAATCTATGGTGTCCAACAGATATATCCTAGGCCTAGACAATATCTGAGCAATTTCTGGTCCGCAAACAACTTGCCTACAGTCAATACTGAAACATAATTTGTTTTCATCAAAGTAAGTCTCGAAGGAAGAGCACTGGTGTCAGGTGCACAGCTTGTTTTAGAGAATTAGGACAAGTTGTGCATTTCTCAAATTTAGTAAGGCGCGTTGGGATTGGACTCCAGAGGAGCGTTAAATGGGACCATGCATGCACTGGCCTCTCTTCACATCATGGCTTTGATGAGTCAGAAAGCAGCTTGCGCTTTGTGTACCTCAAAGTGCAAGGAGTCTCAGGCCTCTATGGTGTGCACCACGTGTGTCTTGATCCATCTTATATTAGACCTAGAAGTTATAAAGACATCTACATACTTGTCCTCACTGTTCGCCTCCAGGTCTTTATCAAAAGTAGCATATTATCCCTTCTTGGTTCATGAGGGCTGCACGGCCCCACTGGTTGCTAGAGAAAGCAACTGAAGCATCACACAAGCACAAGCTTTCTGGAACATTGTACTACGAACATTTTAGTTATGAAACAGTTGGAAAAAGTATATTTTGTGACATGTTGAACGTCAAGTCAAATGCAGAATCAACATTTTAGGAACATCACAGTTGATAGATACATGGGCTAACTTGACTAGTTTGACAGCTGTCATCACTGTCTCTCATTATAATTCACTGTAGAAGGTCTAGCTCAAGGATCCCTCTCCATCACCATAGCATAATTAAGATCTTACTTTCCTGACACTCCCCAGCCACAGACGTGAGACGTGTGGAGGTGGAAACTGGACTGCAGTGTTGAGCCATGATGGACGTCTGTTGGGAAAATGGCTACAGGTGATATGCAATTAGCACTTGTTGAGTAGAAAGGCACATGCTGTTGTGCAAGTGACGTGGACTTTCACATTTGGTCACCTTTGGGCTGCTGCTATCCATTGTTGACTAATTGACAGGTCAAGTAAAGTTGTAAGTAATGAAAGGATTCAGTCATTACAGTGTGAACCGATTGGCCTCATCACAGTGGTTCTTGGATTGATGTGGTAATTCTGGATTAAATTGGGAATTTGGATGTGGGGGAGCCCTAAGAGGGGTTAGGGTAAGGGTTGAGCCAGGTTTGAACAAAATGGTTAAGGTTATGTCAGAATTAGGGCTAGGGTTTTGCCATCCTGTGGACCAAGGGGCCAGGGTTCCAGTCTGGAAGCATGGTTTCGACTGCTCCTACAGTTTTGCTTCGGTACTGCAGTTTAACTGACGCCTGGCCCAGAAAGGCAATTTCCATAGATGGCTACATAGAGAAGTCAGATTGGAAAATTTGTAATAAGACACCAGTCATCACCTTTGTGCACAAAACATCCATTGAATTATTCTAATAATTGTCGCTGAGGCTGACAGAATGACAGTGAAACAATAACGTTGATTCAAATATACCATTTTACTATCAACATTGAAACAAAGTCAAATAACCTTTGTGAAATCAAATATAACATTCAGCATTTCAACCACCCAATATACTCTGAGTGTACAAAACATTAAGAACACCGTACTAATATTGAGTTGCCCTCAGGACAGCCTCAATTCGTCAGGGCATGGACTCTACTAGGTGTCGAAAGTGTTCCACAGGGATGCTGGCCCATGTTGACAGTCTGTGAGTTCATCCTCACCTCACTCTATCCCAAATCCTCTCTCTATCTCTCCTCCCCCTGAATGTGGAATGGCCAGGGCCTTGCTGGCCAGTTCAGACCAGTTTCTAATACTGATTCCCAGGTAAATTCTTGGTCCACTCTTACTACCGCTCATTATAATGCTATAGGAATGGACAGTTGGTCTTTAGCCTGCAGTGCATCCTCTCGGATAGGGAATAGAGAGGGATCGCTCCTCCAGCATTTTATTGATTATTGAATGACTTGGAATTGTAAATGAGCCCCCCCCCCCCCCCCCCCCCCCCCCCCTCCCCATCTAGATGACTCACTCTCTCTCTTTATTGGAGTGACCCGTCTTACAAATGAACTACTCAATTTCAGTGTTGCAGTCCTGTCGAAATGTGATACTGGAAAAAACATGCCACAAAGCAATTGGCTGAAGTATTTGAAGGAATTGGCTGAAATATTTGGAAGATTTTTCTGAAAATGTTTGCACTCGAAGATCATGAAGAGAGAATAATTGAGGCAAAGAGCAGAAAGTAGATTGTACACTAAGGCCATAATGTAAATAAAAAAACTTGGTAACATATATTGGTCGATTTTGATTGTTTACATGTCTGTGTGTGCACATATGTGTGAGTTCGAGCCCTTGACAGACAGCCCTGCATTATTCAGAGGTGTGGGGTCTGCCATGTCCCCCGTCTACAAGATGTCAGGTCATTTTTCAACCCCTCACCTGATTATCCCAATAACCTTGTGAAACACATTCACAGAGGAACAAACACTCTGAAATATGTATAAGCAGTGCGTCACCGGCACCATGCAAAGCCTCCCCAAGGACCTCTCACGTCAGAGGGAGTTGCACTCTGGAGGGGGTTCTATGAAGTACTAACTGACCCAACAGGTCTGAAATTGTCCACCAAGGACTTATGAGTTTTACTACACTTCACTTCTGAGTTACCATAGCCATTTAGTCTGCACATCACGTGTAGTAGGTGGGGATTTAAGTTGAAATATTCCCAAGCTGCTGAAAGCTGGCGCAAGCATGTCTCAATATATGTATCCTTAATTCAGACCTCCATAAATACAGTACTCAAATCGAACAGTAGCTAATGAAATGTGTATCAAATGGTATTTGTTATCAAAGAAAAATCCTAGAGAACTGTTTGATCTGTTGAGCCACATCTACATGAACATTTCAGTTGTGTAATTCAAGGGCATGTGATGATATCAATCCTCTCAATCTTATAGTATTCTATTGTAACCAAGCCTATATTTACGTGTGCTTGGTGGGTGGCATTTATTAGCCAACTCAAAGAGTGTCTCTTTTAACAAGCCGGGGCTTATTAATTAAAATCCATGAAGCAGCAGGTGGCCATGAATCAGACATTTTACACCTGCACTCAGGTGTGCCACAGGGATCAATTCTTATTAATAATTATAGACAACATTCTGAAATAGTCATTCCATTGTTTACTCTAGTGACAGTAGCTCAGCCTAAGCTTTTGGAAGTGTGTAGTGGGCAGCATCGATCATTATAAAAAACCTTGTTGACAGTCCTCCTTGTACTATTATTGTTTTGTCTGTCCAGAACTTGCCTCAGGAATGATCTTGGTCTGGGAGCTGTGAATAGAGTCAAAAATATATTGGAGGGCTATCCCCATCTCTCTGTTGATTCAGTAGCATGTACAACTGTTTTAGCTGAGAGTATTCAGTGTTGATGGAACCTGACTTGAGGCAGTTGGACAACTACAATGGATTTCTTCACATTTTCACCCAGTAGCTAATGATAGTAACTTTAATTATTTTGTTCTGAGTAGAGATTTATTCTATAAATGTCATGGAAATGGAGGAACATACAGGACATCACATTATCTAGTCCAGTATTTTAGTTTGAATGTCCCGTGTAGCTCAGTTGGTAGAGCATGGTGCTTGCAACGCCAGGGTTGTGAGTTCGATTCCCACGGGGGGCCAGTATGAAAAAAATAAATATTGTATGCACTCACTAACTGTAAGTTGCTCTGGATAAGAGTGTCTGCTAAATATGTAAAATGAATGCCATGGAAATTGTCTGCAACAAATGTTAATTTATGCTGTGCCATGTCATGTTACCTTTTCCAAAATGTGTGTGTGAGAAAGCTGAAGATACAGCACATGGTTGAACATTGTTTTTCTGTATCTCTTGGGAGGTCTTCTGCTGAAAGTGGATCGATAATGACATTATTAGCACGTGTAAAATAAAGGGGATGGTTCTACATCTGTTGTGGGCTAGCATCTCTACCATAGGTGAGCTGAAGACTGTGTCTACCATAAGCGAAGACATCTAGATGTTCTACCATAGGCAAAGACAAATATATCTCCAAAGAACACCCCGCTCTGTACCTATTTTGTTTTAGTTTTTTTAGTACATGCTCAATTGTTCTAGGGAATACTACAATTAATTTAGGGCAACTAAAAGGACCAACAGATTATGTTACACTATTGTTTCTCAAATAGGAAATTAATGAGGTTGCTGGTTTCAAGACTAGCCCCTTGTTACATTGGTGTTAGAAGTGGGATTGGAGACCGCAGATAAGACAACCAAATATTTGTGTGAGAGACTTGAGATGAATGGGACAATGTACAGGGATACTGTGAAAGCCATTTCATTTCAGTTGGGGTCCAGTCTTCTGCCCAACAATTAGGTTTGGGTAGGCATGACTGCAATACATTTCTTTGTAAACCCAGAGGTCTTGCTTGGTTTCCTTCTTAATGGGAACTAGGTGTAGCCCATTATGAATGATGTAATAGAGCTTATATTGAGTTATTTGTACAATGCTTTATCACAATGTTCAGATTTCAGAGGAGTCCCGCTGAAAAGAGCAGATTAATAAACTGTTCAGACTGACCCGTCTTATCTCTCCTCCTCATCAACGAGCCGGCCAGGTACGTCTCTGCTGACCTTACCATGCATTTGTTTTTAAATGCCTTCTGACACCTCTATTCTCTCTGACCTATTGACACTGACGCCCGCTTCTCCAGTCCGTGCGGACATCATAAATATTATACTCTCCCAAATGAAAGTATCTGACGCAGGATTCCGAAGAAGCGTGACATTTTCAATCCCCCATTAGATTTTTTTCTTAATTATCTGATCGTACTGGAGTGGCAGCAACTAGATATGTACTGTAGTATATAGGAAGATAGACATTGTTATGACAGCGAGTTGGTGCGCCATAGTGTTTTGGCCAGAGGGTTTTAAGTGGCTGTTTTTACATGTACAATCTACCATCAGGCAAAGATTTAAACAGCTTCTCAGGTTTGACTAAATAGACCATGTTGACTGAACAGTTTCATAGACTTCATGGTGAACGTGCCCTGAAAACAAGAGATACAACCACATTTAGGTGTTTGTCTTGGAAATACTGCCCCACAAATGGCGTGTTCCTGAATACTGAATAGTCAATGTGTGCCCTGGAGGTGTCTTTTAGTGTATAATAGAATTCAGATGGGGACTAGTTAGATGGCAACTTCATTCCACAATGCACAGTAGCACAGTAGCACAGTGTGTTCCCCTGGCTTGAAAGCTCAGGTCTGTCAACAGGCAGCATGCAAAGTGAAGATTAAAAAGCCAAGCTGGGGAAATGATTAGAATTGCTCTTTGTTGCCTGAATCTAGGTCATTTTCTAAGACGCCAATGTCAGGCATTCGCTCTGGTGTGACTTTTCATGTCCATTTTGGCAGACAGTTGCTCGGCCACTGACTGTTTTTAGCCGATCAAAGGTTATGTGTTTGTGCTCTTCTTTAGACATAGTTCTACCCTGCAAAGCCTGCCCAAGTCTCCCTCCCCCACAGACACCATTTATGGTGCAATAGTTTGGTGGAATAGTTACATGATTGTACAATCTTGCACAAACTGATATTCATAAAAACAATTATTTTCCACTTTTCTTCACTTAAGCTGTCATGAGTGGAATGCACTTGTACCCAGATGCTGAAATTCAAGTGCTGAATGTATCAGTTGAGGAATTCACAAAATACGAAAAAGTACACAAATGCTTCCCTTAACAAATACATAAAACCAGGTGGATTATTCAATGTAGGAAGTCAGAATTTAACACATCTTTGTGGAATTTCACTGCATTTAATATTTTGAATACACAAAAATGAATTATATAATATGAAAATGAATAGGAGAACAAATTTATTCAAAATATTCATTATGAAATATAAACAATATGTATAAATGCATACACTACACTGACAAAACCATTAATCAGATGACATGATTAACCTTGTGTTGTCGGTATGACCACCTCTGTAGAGTTCATTTATTCACCGTCTATAAAACATTTATAAAACACTTATAAAAATGGTAGAAAACACAACATGGGAATAAGGGTGTGCTGCAGAGGGTCACCTGCCCTTATGAGGGGGTGACTGGTGATGCAGAAGTGCCATTTTCTAAGGAAAGTGCCTGTGTGTGTGGTCAAAGTCAATAAACAGCATGGCTCAGATTAGAAGGATGCTTTGCCATGTTTGTGTGTGATGTTTCTTACATCATAAACACAGACGGGAAGTAGTGGAGCTTGGAATGAACACGTGTGAAATGGAACATCAGATATATTTGTGCTAATGGTATTGAGGTTCACAACCTTTTCAAACCATTCTTTTGGGAGCTTTTCATTAACAGAATGACACGTTTTCTCAACAAAAAGCCACATGAATCAAAGTAGTTCCAAAACAGAAGAAAAATACGATTGACCACCCTGATGGACAAAGCGCATAACAGGTTATGCGTTGCTGTGGGATTGTAGATATTTCCAATCTGTTTCTTACTTTTTGAGCAACACAATAATGTCCTCTCATTAACCGGCCTCCTTTCACATCTAATAAATCGCCATTGGGCATTTGTTTCCAGCAGCCTAATATTGCATGTACCAACCTTATAGATCAGCTACCTCCCTGAATTATGCAAAACCATATGAATATTGAGCAGTGGTGGCGTTTGCTACATAAGCAGTGTTGTGTGTGTATTAACACATACAAAAAAAGTGAAGTGATTGACTCCTATAGAATACTATGGGTGATGTGTTGTAGTGACATGTCCAGTGTGAGTAGGGGTTTGAGTCCCTGGTTTGGGTTTCAGGTCCTGAGGGGGAGCAGTCATAGACTGAGGGGTTCTTTGCATAAGAATGTTTGAGTTCACAGTATTTTGGTGAAATGTCCCCAAGTGTCACTGCTGTCCTTTCACGCTCTTCCCTTCTTGCATAGATCCATGGATATCTGAAATGTTAGAGAAAAACACTAGTCATGATTTCAACCAAATAATAATGAACTCATCACACTATATGATGTAATGCACATATGTAAAGATAGAGGTATGCTAGCACCTAAAAATAAAACTGAAACTGTCTAAAATGTTGGAAAGGCAACCCAGAAATGGCACAGGCAAGGGTTAGGTTTTATATTGGGTAGGGTTAAAATAAACTGTTTAGTTTTTTAGGTGCACAGGCCTATTCCTATCTGCCCCTCCAATGTTTCAATAAAATGTTTTTCAATTGCAGTACCCTTAAAAGTTGCTAGATGGAATCATAGGATCATAAATGAAATGAAGATGGTACTGAGTGAGTTCTAAAAGCAGCAGGCCAGGCCCCTGGAGGACTGAATTTCCAGGTAAGTCATAAATAAACAAGTGCATGCTCTCTAAAATCAATAAGACTCTTGTTAAAAGGTCCTAAAACAATTAATTCCCAAACCATACATACAAATGAATAAATGTAAAAGCCATTTAATAAGAGAAACATGCACATTAAAAAAGATAGTGGTATGCTACTAATGGTGTCCACCTTATAATCTACAGATAGGTTGCAAATAGCTCTGTAGCAATCAGACATATTCACCACATTATTTAGTGTGCACAAAGTGTCATCTACTGTATCAAAATATCACTACATCTACATACCCTGTTATTATTGGAGCTGTAGTACACAATTATTGGAACCGTTCACACTTAAATCTGTAGTAAGTATTATTATGCATTATTGTGTTTGACCCGCCAATGAGTATACATACTGTATGTTCAAGTGTGTATTTAGTATATGTATTTTAGCATGTGTGTGACCCACCTCCTAAGTATGTGTCCTATAACGTCGTTGGTCCCGGCCCTCATAGGAGTTGGCCCAGCTGGTGCACGGTCAAGCCCAGGGCGAGCAGCAAACAAGGAGGAGCGGTCCTGGAGCCCTGTACAAACCAGTACACAACACCAATGTAAGTCATTCTCAACCGTAACAAAATTAAATAACAGTCCTGCCTAGCATAAAACAAAAGATCACGAGGCAAGAGAGTTATAAACTGAGGAGTGGCAAGGTGACCAGACGAGAACTGAGTAAGAAGCAACCACTGCCACCAATGTCCACCAGTGCCATGAACAACTGAATGTTCAGCTGAATGGTTCGACGTAATTTAATGTGGGAGAGATTTTGTTCAAGTCTGCTATATAAATACTGTATGCTTTTGTTGGGCTAGAAGGCAATAATAACAGCTACCTTCTAACATTTATATAGTTATGTGAATGTGTTAGCATGTATGTGTATACATAATACCTTACAATGTATATAATACACTGAGTACACCAAACATTAGGAACACCTTCCTAATATTGAGTTGCACCCTCCCCCCTTTTGCATTCAGAACAGCCTCAATTCGTCGGGGCATGGTCTCTACAAGGTGTCGAAAGCGTTCCACAGGGATGCTGGCCCATGTTGACGCCAATGCTAGCACACGTACTCTACACACACATACATTGTAATATTGTTGTATGGTGGTATTATACATTTCGTATTGTAGAAATGTAGTGGTGTAATAATGTTATATGATGTACTGTTTTATCTTCTATGTAATGTAAGTGCCTTAATGTGTTTGGACCCCAGGAAGAGTAGCTGCTGCCTTGGCAACAGCTAATGGGGATCCCTAATAAATACAAATGCAGGTGTTCTTAATGTTTTGTATACACAGTGTATATAATCTGTATATTACATTTTACATTTTAGTCATTTAACAGACGCTCTTATCCAGAGCGACTTACAGTTAGTGAGTGCATACATGTTTTTTTGTTTGTTTCGTTTTTTTTTTTTTTTTTCAAACTGGCCCCCCGTGGGAAACGAACCCACATCCCTGCCGGCCAAACCCTCCCCTACCTTGGACCAATTGTGCGCCGCACATGGGACACCCGGTCGCGGCCGGCTGCGACAGAGCCTGGACTCGAATCAGGATCTCTAGTGGCACAGCTAGCACTGTGATGCAGTGCCTTAGACCACTGCGCCACTCGGGAGTCAAAATATTGTAGTCTGCATCTTCAGCACTAACTCTATATGAATGTGCAACGCTCAAATGATTTATCACACACCCGCTAAAGATATGGCGCTGGATTGTTACTTAACCTTAGTGTTATATATATACTTGGAAAGGACCTGTATGAGCCTTGAGCAAGTGAGGTGGTCATCCCGCACCCTCTTTATTCTTACACAGACAAGGAAGAGTTTCTATTTAAACATGAATTCCAATGATAATTGTTTAAATGTCAAGACTAAAACCCCTTAGAGTTTACATTAAGAGATACCACATAAACATGTATATGTAGGGTATTACAGCTGGTCACACACATTCACACGCACTTATAACATCAATAAGATAAGATCACTTTATTGGTCAGTTGCACACAAGGTCCAACCAAAATGTGACTTCTGCTTATAACCCAACCCAAAGACATACATACACGTACATATACAGGTTTTGGACAGGCTACAATGCCACACTGGGTGCCCCCCCCCCCCCCCCCCCCCCCCCCTCGAAGGGGTTGGGTTATAAGTGGAAGTCAAATTTTGGTTGGACCTTGTGTGCAATTGACCAATAAAGTGATGTTATCTTATTGATGTTATAAGTGCGTGTGAATGTGTGTGACCAGCTGTAATACCCTACACATACAAGTTTATGTGGTATCTCTTAATGTAAACTCTAAGGGGTTTTAGTCTTTTAGCGCTATTATGATTGGAATTCATGTTAGGATGAATGAGGACCAACATAAATAGTATTTTCAGCCCCTGACAAAGTAGTAACACACACACACATTGACTGTTGGGGATTGATTTGCTCTTTGGCAGAAGGTCCTCCTGCTTTCTCATGGTTGGGAGGCTTTGGACGAATCCCAGAGTGTTTGTTGATGAGGATTTCCTGGACTTGAGTTTGAGATATAAAGCAGCTGGGGCTTTCAGACAGACCCATATCGATAATAGGATCCACTTGTTGGATCTTGACTAAGCCTCTGAAATGTGCTGAATTTGTACTTTCAAAGTAAGCACCCTCAAAGCAATATGTATTAGATGTGGAACAAAGAGGCCGTGCTCTGTTTCTGGTCGTGTTCGAAAGGATCAAACCCGTACTGTATCAAGGGTAAATTGTGACTGTGTCTGACCTACAAATAATAATGAGTAGTTATTTATGATGCAAGGTTCTTTGTAGATCAGTCAGTTGGCAGTCGCCTGCAATGACGTCAAACAAGGCCAGATATTGGGTATTGGGCACATTCCTCTGCCCAGGCGCTTCTGACGCATGCTAGATCTTACAACGTCTGAATAGGTATTTTACATATCAGCTAACCACATCATATGTTATAACATTCTGTCAGTCAATGACCCAGTCGATAATGTGGTACGCAACCTATGGGCGCGTTGTTCTGCCCAGGCGTTGCTGATGCATGCAAGATCGTACAACGCCTTGATAGGTATTTTACGTATCAGCTAACCGCAATCTGTCAATCGATGACGTCACACTCAACCATTGGTTGATGCATGCAACGTCTGAGCGGTGGAACACAGCCATTTTTACTGGAAACCGTAAAAACACCTGACTTCAATATGTCTAAGCCCTGACTTTTCGTAGCGGGTTAGGAGAGCATTTTCTCTAACCCTAACCCTTTTCCTAGTCTTAACCTAGGGGCTGGCCGATATAGCCAAAATATCATATCACATCTTTAACGGTATGACAGTATTTTATGTTTTTGAATAAAAAAAGTTATAAATGACCATAGGGTGGCAACAAATACATTATATGTGATTTCAATGGGGCTTTATCCATTCTGATTGCTCTGTCGTAGCCGGCCGCGACCGGGAGACCCATGGGGCGGCGCACAATTGGTCCAGCGTCGTCCAGGGTAGGGGAGGGAATGGCTGGCAGGGAGGTAACTCAGTTGGTAGAGCATGGCGTTTGCAACGCCAGGGTTGTGGGTTCGATTCCCACGGGGGGCCAGTATAAAAAAATAAATAAAAAAAATTCTAAAATTTTTATAATGTATGCACTCACTAACTGTAAGTCGCTCTGGATAAGAGCGTCTGCTAAATGACTAAAATGTAAATGTAAATGTAATGTTGTATTGTCTTTCCAGGGAATGTATGCGTGTCTGAGGACTTAAAACATGTAATAATCAAGTACAGTTATCATTTTGGTAAAGCTATCCACTCATTTTGAAATAGGACTAGGCTAACTAAACAAAAGTGGGTTGTCATAGTTTGTTCTTGCTGTCAGTTAAGATTTGGATTTAAAAATGCTGTTTATTTGAAACTAACAAAAACACAATACTGTAGTGGAAATAGCAGCAGGAGTAGTGGTTCCAAAATTGCTGTGATTCCTAGTAATTTTATTGTTCCAAATGAACTGTGTTCATGTGTTTATGTTGGTGCTTTTCTATTTAACAATTTCTATGTTCTATGTTTGTGCTTTTCTATAAACCAATTTCTGTGTTCATGCAAGTGACTGTTTGAACGAATCCTCACTATCAGTGTCTGCAATTTGGCAGTACGCCCAGAACCTTGTTTAGAGAAAGGGATATCTCAGTTTCAAGGTCTCAGCTTAGGGAAAAGAAGCCTCGTGAGGTATTGGTCTGTCACATGCATGACCCAGTATTGGTCGGTCACATGAATGAAGCAAACGTTAATGATTAATTAATCATGAATAAGCTAAATCATGCAAATATGACGTCAGTATATAAGGGAACTAACGGGACTGCCCCGTTAGAGCTCCTGGTCAACATGTGTACATATGGTGCATTGAGTTGGGTGGAACCTCTCCAGCATGCTGACAATAAACAATGATTCATTTAAGATTGACTTTGAGTGTCCCTGTGTAAGAATTTCCACAATAGAACCCATCTGTCTTAAATCTCTCCAGTGCTGGTTTTCCCCTGGGTAATCCACACACCCACGTAAAACACAAGTAACCGTCCTCGTAACTTCCGCAAGCATGGAACATAAGGTCAGTGTGACATCAGTGTTCTCAGGGTAGAGGTATGTGGTTTTGGTTTAAGCCTCCATCTTAAAAGATATATGACTCAAAGGTAAACTATATATGATAGACCTTTTGTTTGGGAGATAAAAGGGAGCCTAATCAGCCACAAACGACTGCAGCAACATGATGGGATACCTTCGCCATGGTGACTATGCTGCTGTCTGTGGTCGACATAGCGGTCGAGAAGGTTGTGTCTTCCTCTTCCCCCTTATCATCCTCCTCTTCACTTGCACTTAGAAACTTGTCCAGGTCCTCAGTACTAGTGTTACCTAGTGAACAACACATTTTATTTGTGAGGTAACTTTCCAGTACTTACTGTATTTCAAAGAACTAAACACAAAGAAGCAGATTAAATATTTTGTTTTAATGATGTTGTACCAACGGGGATAAACTCAATGCATAAAAAGTAAATGTTTTAACATACTGAAAAAGCTGTATTCAATGGTGGCGTTGTAGTCGTAGTCCGGTGTCAGTGTTGTGTCACCGTAGTCATCATATACATATTGGCCTGTAGGGATGGAGCAGAAACTGAAGGTTACGTCAATGCAGTGAGGCAAGAACAGATTGTGTTTGGGTCTAAATAAACAACAAATAAAAAGCTTTAACAAAAATCAAGGTCAAAGATGAGGGGAAAGCTGACCTACAATGTTTTATTTTCCATGTGCTGTCTGGCACACGGCTGGCATCAGCATAGCTTAAAGGGATAGTCCACACAAAATGGAAAGTTTATCAGATACATTATTTCCAGACCTAAAAAGTGGTCTAATGTCAAGATGAGTCCCAAGCTATCGGTTGTATAGATACAGCTATATGCCTCAATTCCAAAAGAATGGGAAAGATAGGCACAAAATAGAATCAGTAAATTAGACAGGGCCTATCTTATATTAATTTAGAGTTGAGGCATATAGCTGTACATATACGTACAACCGATAGCTTGGGACTTCAGGGGTCTGAAAATGTCTCACAAACAGTGATTTTAGAGTAAATGATCACTTAAGGGGCCAAATGGACAGTAAAAAAAAAGGTGCCAATCCTAAATCTCAGTAAACCTTTAAAATGGGTTAATCCATCTCGCCCTCTGTTTAAATTCCCTGAGCTCTTTAATCATCAAGCATTATTAAAGTGTTTTTATTCAGTATTTACAGTCACCCCATTAACACTCATAAAATGTGATGAACCTTTATATTCTGAATAATCTAATGCCATTTGGTCAGTAAAGATTCAGCAGAGCCTGTTGAACGTTAATGACAGTCTTAATAATTTACTACGATTAATGCACATTGAGTCCAGTGCTAAACAAAGCTGATCGACTCAAGAACAGAAGCTGACTCAAGGGAAATCACGCTTAGTTTTGGCACATGAGCAGGGGGGGAGGGGGGAGCAGCATAGGATCCATGAATCGTGCCTGGCCAACAGACGTTTCTGTGAGGGAAATTTCTCTCTCACGATATGTCCTAAATATACCGGGTGTTGAAAGCCATCTCACTAATTGTAAGTCCGTCTGGATAAGAGCGTCTGCTAAATTACTAAAATGTACATGTAAAATCTCTGCATCTTTTACAGTTAAAAGCAGTGGTTTAACAAAATGTTCTACCCTTTTTCCCAACACATGTGAGAAGCCTAAACAAAGATGCCTCAGATTGTTCTACAGTGCCCTTTTCATTTCTAACACATTTTCCTTGTATTATAGAACAGTGAGGAGACTGATACAGTATATCACCCACACGCACCTTAGTCGTTACGTTAGTCAGCAGGTGTTTGGCTGACTGTTTGAAAAGGACAGAGTTGCACAACACTGAACCAGGGAATGACAGGTCAGCTCCTCCAAACTAATCAAAATCAGCACAGCACTTAGTTCTGTCAGCTGTTGCTCAAACTTAATTTAGAACAGCTTAACGGGTAAGGCAATATTTGAGACAAACTCGGGTTATTAAGGTGGGTCAGCTAAACAAATACAACAAAAGCCACAGCAAAGCTGGAACTGTCAGTCAATCATGATGTTGGACACAGGTGGCAAAAGGGTTATAGGAAGTCAGCTTTTATCTGGACAGCACTGATGTCACTCAAGGACATAATGTACTACCCCAATATAAGTATTGACATAATTGTTTTGTTAGCATATCCGTCTGTCGTTCATTTCACTGCATCCCCAAATGTTGTGTTGAAACTGTTACAAATCGGTCTCGGTCAGTTGAGAGTATTTTGTTTAATTAGTTTACCTTTATAGGTCTGACGAAGGTTGTAAGGCCGAAACATTGGAATTAAATATGTGAGTGTGCACTTTTCTTTACTGCACCAAAATGTTATACCAGCGATCTGTCCACCTCAAAGTTACTGTGACCCCTAACTTCCTCAAGCATCCAAGTCTGTGAACACACTCAAGAGAATCAGTAACCCTCCCTATAACATCATTCAAGCTGCAGGACTTCCATCCAGTCACCTGACATCAGGGAGAGACGAAGGCAGCCAGGGGACATCTCGTCATCAAACGGTTCGGAAAGTTGCACATCACTTAGGCCATGCGAACCAGGGCTGTCTCGCATGAGAGATATGGGAGACCTCAGGACAGGGGTCACCCTGCCGCCAATGCTCGGGTGGTTCTGGGACCATTAGATCTCACAGAAGCTCTGGACCCTCCCCTGTGGTGCGGAGGTTCTGAAGAACAGACGATGGGAACTGAACTGACCCCAATAGCCCACTTCCTTGTCCCCAGAAATGTCTATCTAAATAGGGATCCACCAGTTGCACATGATTCATTTATACAGCTGTATTAGTTTCATTGTGAGTCAAGTGCATTTCCCAAGGACACAATATATACTGTATGTGTCTGCCTCTGTTATTTGAACTGGACTCCCTGCTATTAAGTTTACTTAAACTTTTTTCCAGATGTGTTCAGTTGCCCTCAAAGTCAGTGAGACTCATCATGATCATCTGGGGGGACTAGTTTATAATTAGTTTTGCTAATGTCCCTCCTCATTCCAGTTTCCCACATGTAATCATTGCCACAAACATCCTCCTGCTTCAGTTTGGTCTACTTGAGCAGACCCCAATAAATCATGTACCAGTCCCGCTCCCTGTTTATCTGTTTCTGGTGGAGTCATAACGGCTGCCTTGAAGTAGAAGAGATGGCCTACAGACATTACAATAACTGATGGGGAGGATCAGTGTAAAACGATAAGGTACATGTGGGAAATGTTACTACCAAAGAAAAACAACTTTCAGATGGGCTTTGATTCTAGCTTCTCTTTTTGAAATTTACAAAAAAAAGTTTAACTCAGAGATTAACCATATTCCTTAGCTTGTGGCAGGCTGCCATTATGACTTCAGATATACAATCCCATTCTATTTAAACACACCAAGACTCCACTGGCAGCGGAGTGCTACGCGGAACTAAACACCAATGTACTACTATCATTGGCATTGTGTGGACCACTTTTAAAAAACGTTGCATCTCGGGTCAAAGCTAACTACGTTGAAGCTCACATGCATCATTAATGAGGCAGTGTGTGTCCTTCTATCCTCTATATTCAATCCCTCCACAATGCTTGTGAGTCAGTCTCCTCTCGGGACCGAGATTTAGGCTACCTCTATGAAAGTCAATGAACAAGTGTTGAAAAACCCTTCCATACACAACCATGAGTGACACAACCCTTTAATAGTGAGTATAAGTGGATCTATGCTTCATCTGAGAAGACAGGCTGCTTGTTTTAACCCTGCCCTCCAGTGTAGGAAGACGAGGTCCCATTGTGGTCACTGTACAGTATGTGTTGTCCAGGGAAAGAACTGTGGGAAGGGAATCTCACTCCTGCTGCTTTGGTTGCTGCAGATTCAGCTGATTCACCTAGTGGGCTCTGTTAGCACAACTAGATACAAGTTCAGAATACCCACCACATCACATGCTAAGCCCGTAGGGGAAACGATATTAGCAAACAGACTGTACGGTCAGCCATATACGCAATCTGGGGGTAAGTCTGGAATGACTGTTTTCACACACCCTATTATTAAAGGAGTGGTCCTTTCATGTCTCCCTCCAACAGGGAACATTAATGAAGTCACGGCCCATGTTATGCTAGCTAGCGAATATGCTAACGTTAGCTAGCTAGCTAAACATTTGGCTATGGCCTGGCACTGGCATTATGGGATTATGGAGAGTGAATTTAATTGTTTCTTCATAATATTGCTAGGTAGTTATCTAGCTGTGGCCATCTGGCTAGTATCAACATGGGGTTTCTACAAAATAGCAACATTAGCGCAGATAGCTTGGAATCTAGACCATAAGCAATATGCACAGATATGCATTGCCAAACAACGCTACTGCCACCTTCTGGTTTGGAGTATTTTAATAAGGCTGAGTGGCTTACGACTTCCAAGGTCTTTGCTGTGTGAACACAAAAGAGATTCACTGCCAACACTCCCCTTATAAAAAAAGATTGCAGTTTTGAAACTGCAGTAAAAGTGCAGTGACTGCAGTCGACTGTGGTATTTTGCTGTAATTGCAGAATAACTGCAGTGTACTGCAGTTGAACTGCAGTTATACTGCACTCTAACTGCAGTTACACTGCAAAATTACTGCAGTAAAAAAACTGTGTTGTTTTGGACGCAGTATTTGCCGCATACTGCCGTTATACTGCACTCTGACTGCAATCTTTTTCCGTAGGGGTCTGTTCAGAGGTGCTAAGGCAAACGTTTGACAACGGCAAACGTTTGACAATCCTACCGGTGTGTCTGAGATTTTAATTAGGCATCAGCTTAAAGACGTCCTCCAGCAATTATTTTAAATCGCAAGTATAAATACAGTACAGTACAATAAAGGGTAAAAAAAAAAAATACAAAATAGTGTTTTTTAGACACAACTGCAAACTTCAAGGAGTAGGGCATTCAATGAGTTGGTCTGATGGGGAGACGTGATGTCATCAGCCTCCCCCTTGCTTAAGGAACAATAGTGCCATGTCATATCGTACCTGGAGCACCTATTGAGATGTTCCTGTTGTTAAGTAAATCAGGTGTTAAATGCAGTGAAAAGGAGCCTGGTGTAGACTTTAACACCCCATACAGCTTTGTTTGGTTTTTAGGCCTTTATTTCATCTCTATGTGTCATTACCACCAAGGTTTGCAAGATGATCAAATTTCCTAAATCTGGGAATGCCCATGTCAAGGAACATTTATTCTAAGGAGGCTGAACACAGCCTGAACATTGCAAAGCACGGGAAAGATTCTCACCAATACAATTTGAGACCGGCAAACAGGGTTAGCGTGACACATTACATTTTCCCTCATTCGCTCTAATCTAATCTTTTATGATTCATAAAATAAAATAAATCCCTGTCGGTACAATCTGTCACCCCCCCCCCCCCCACAAGAGGCAGTTGCCAAGCCTCATGAAAACCCCATGCCATGTTAAGCCTCCAACCATAATGAAATGGGAAGAAAACAATCAAACTCTATGTGCACTGTGTACTGAGATTTCACAACAAAAAGGCAACAATCAAAGAATACATGCCATTCATCTTTATTAAAAAATTCATCCAGACTTGAAACCACAACTGCTATCCGTTGGGCCGAGGGTTTGACAGGCACTTGCAAACTTTTCCTGAGAACAATCGAGCTTCCCACTCACTGACTAAAAGCCAGCTCAGCCCACGGTGGGAAATGGGCATCAGGGGGAGTGAAGGAGGATGCAGGCATATCGTGCTCACTCTACACAAAACAGCTCTGCTGGGAACTGCAGCGGGATTACATCGCCGGGTGATTGTTCTGCCCCCAGGATTCTCTTGTGCTTGAGAGAGGAACCTTGTTCAGCGCAACGCTAATGGTTATGTACAGCTTGGTTCACTGGCTTCTGTGTTTTCAGACTTTTCACAGACTTTTAAGCATTTTAGCTGAGTAGCCCTCTAATAAAATATTTTGATGGAAAGTACCTGGATTTGTAAATTTGATAGTCAGCAATGCCTCATCCCACTATTACCCTGTAACTCCAATTGTACAAGTCTGGCAATACTTTCACGGAAAACACATTCCAGTTTGTGAACAGACGATGGAAAATAACTTTTGAAAATGATGAACCCACTGTGCACAGACATCAATTCAATGTCTATTCAACGTTGGTTCAATGTAATTTCATCGAAATGACGTGGAAACAACATTGATTCAACCAGTGTGTGCCCAGTGGGAAAGCTCTTACACCTGCCTCCCTCAGTACTCACTCAAGCTATGTTCTAGATCACCCAATAATACTCTCTCACAACCCAACACACCTGAATGTCCTTATCAGAGGTCAATGCAAACAGATACACATACCACAGGTTCTCAATTCTTATATTCTGTTTTTTCATGGCACTCAATCTCCCCACAGACAACCGTACTAAGCACCCACAAACAAACATCCTGCCTATTGCAGTACTCACCCCAGCAGAGAGGTAGCAACAATAGCACTCCAGTCAAGCAGACCGAGAGAAAGCGGTAGTGGGTTAGTCTGTGCATGTTGCTCCAGAAAGAGAGAGCGAGAGTGTGTGTGTGTGATGAAGTGATTAGACTCCAAACTGGGCTCTGAATGAATGTGGTGTGTGAGTGTGTGTGATAGGGGAGGGAGTGAGGGGTGGGGGAAGAGGGAAAGGAGGGAGGTGGCAGTAGGGGGAGTTCTCCTTTGCCTCAATGTACCAAGGGGTGTAAACCAAACATACTCAACAATTGTCAGTGGCACACAAAGTGTGTGGTCTGGATTAGGGTGAGGTAAAATGATTCGGGATCCATCATGACCTTTTAACAGTGATTGGTTGAGGTCAGGATTATAGTAGATTATTCAGATTTTGAGTCAGTACCACTTTTTACAAACTGTAGTTGGGGTTAGGGATTATATTTGGATGACCTGATTCTGGGTTATAAAAGTCTGGGTTATAAAGGACATGGAGTTGTGGTCAATTGTCAAGTCAGTGGGTCCACTAAATTAACAAAGTGTTCAGCTGAACAGACACCTGTAATAAAGGCACTGAAATGGATCGGCCTTTCACAAATAATATTCTGTGTTTCTTATAAATTACACAATCAATTAATATACATTCTAACATGATGATTAGATAACATAGTATAACAATGGGTATCCTTCATCCATATTTTACATATGTTCAAATTCTGCCTATAAAAAAGCCATTGTTGTTTGGACAGCTCATCTTGCTGTGAACTGGCCAGTAAAGACACAGGCAACTACCCTCTCCCTATTGTATCTGTTGTAGAGGAAATGCTCCTTACCAAATGCCAGATGTTTTTGAGTTTTACATAGGAGAGGTGGGGGTTTCGACTGCCCCCATCCTCTCCAGTCAGCAGGGGGTCGCAGAGTAAGTATATTTAAGTGTGCCCCATGAGGAAGAGAAGGGGGTTGGGTAAGCGTAGGTGGGGTGGTATGCATAAATCCTGCCCCCTCCATCCCATGGCTCTCTCAGCTCTCCTGATGTTTGGGACTTGGCTATGTTCCCCTGTCAGCTCTATGACTCAGTGAGAGTTGGCCTGGTTTATGTTGCTGTAAGCACCACTGGCTGTGAACAGGACCGTGGGACCATGTAGGTGACTGGCTACGGTAGTGTATACGTGAGCCATCGCATTCGCCTCCTACAAGCAGCTCTTGTTTCTCACCGCCATGAGTCCGAGTGCAACCCATCTGCTTGCATCAAATCACAATGAACTAAGATATAAAACATCTCATATCATTTGCATGGATACGAGAGTGAGCACACTTGTGCATAGGGGAGTGTACGGGCAATGCCCTAGAGTACACCTACCCAGAGCCAAGTTAAACTTTCCTCATGAGATCAGCTTCGACTCTGACAGGGGTTTAGTTTCAAAGAACATTTCGGGATCAGAGTTTGGTTCGGTCTTAAACTCTCTTCTTGCTCCCTCTCACCTTGAGGCCTGTTTTTTTTCATGTGAATGAACGCCCAAACCTCAAGGGTCTCGTTTGTTTCCCTGCAGAGTTGGCAAGGGCGAGTGCAGCAGCCTGGCAAAACCTTTACAGAAGAGTCCTATTTGTTCCCCTCCCATTTGTTATTTTTTGCAGAGAGACACTGGTTAAGGGATGGGAATGGCCCACGAACTGAATATGCACAAATGTGCCCGTCTCCAAATCTCCAGTTTCAGGACTTCAGGGTGACTGGGGGACGTTTGGGAAACCAGCCCCGAGAGTGAGAGTGACATCCCTGACCTGAGCATTAACGAAGGGGTGGGGGATGGGCAGGTACACAATCCACGCTGCTGACACCCTGACGGATAGATATGGGACAGGAGTGGGGGAAAGTGTTTCGAAAACAGTCATGGTCAGGACAGGGGGATTGGCAGGGATGCCTAACATGCCCCAGGCTGGCTGTAAGGCAGTGTTCAATGAAGTGGACAAAACTCTGTACAAGGCCATGTCCTGGGTCTGTCACAGTATCGGCTTTGCAGGCTGACACACATATTCCAAAGAATCTCATTTAATCCATAAGGCTGGTCAGCATCCTGCAAGAGAGTGTGCTTCTTTTGAGCAGATGTAACCTAGCCCAGTTTGCAGTGCTATTCACCAATAAAGTACAAATATGAAAGGCAGATGAGAGGACCCCTGGAAGCCAGTGAATGGTTGTTTAATGATGTGTTTGGATAGCAGGTCAGGCATGTGTGACAGACAGGTCTGAGATGTTATTTCCTTTCTGGGGATTCCTTGTCGGCACTATCTACTGTATGTGTTGATAGATGGTCCTGTTGGACATTCATTGAAAGTTTGACAATATGATCCAAGTTCTTAGAGACTTGGATCATATCCCTTCTTAAATTAATTATCCACACAACACTCAACCTCCCCATTCATTATCACAAGTCACTACCACGATAAAGTCCAAACACCCTGTGTAACTATAAATATCAGAGCTCTCCCTGAAGACAGAGTCAGCTTTTGTTCTCTCCCACAGAAAAACGTATGTGGGTGTGAGGGAATTCTACAGGATTTTGTCCGTGGGAGCATCCAGAAGATAATTCTCTGGGCTCCAGGGGGCCCCTGGGGGTGGGGTTGTGATGGATCTGTTGTGCTTGCAGAGGGTCCAACCCAGCAGGAGAACACATTTGTGAATGTTTACCAATGGACATTTGCATGGAATCTGGGCACGGTTCCAGCAAATGTTTTATATACGTGCACTACCGCTCCATCATGGTTTCTCAATAATCTCCTCGTATAAAATCTTCCCAACGCTCATTATCTACATGAAAGAGCACTGAGCCTGCAATATACCCACAGCGGCCCAACTAATAGTCAAGGCATTTTCAAATGAGACTAAATGTTTTTTTGATACTTGAGAACATAGTAAACAATATTGAACTGTTGATATCTGAGAGTAAACCTATACTGAGCACAGGGCCTATATTTTCAAGTAAACATATTAATTAGAAAGTCTGTACTGCAGTGTTAAACAGTGCAGATTTGTAATTATTGTTCAAAATTAGGGACAGACTTTGGCTACTACCATAAAGAGGATTTCACAAATATCCACCTCTTTTCTTAGAGCCATGATTAAAATCTAGCCACAGATAATAGGGCCTGTTTGCCATCATCAAGACATCCTCTAAAACTTAAGCTGATGTATGGGGACTTCAACCAGTGCTAAGAATGGCCATCAGACTCATGATCCAGGAGACACAGGGAAGCATAAACACAAAGGAGGTAAGACAATGATAGGATTCAATGGAGGTAAACTGGAATTTCCCTTCACTTGAATTCTTTGTGATTTATACAGATGGGTTCATTTTAAACAACTATATGTAGAAGGGGAATGCAACTCCCTTCACTGGAGAACTGAGCATGTAACCAAACAGAAACCCAGTAAAAAAAAAATCTGAAATATGATATTGTTCAGCTCATCCCGATCCAAGCCTATCCCCAACATCTGATGTGGGTGGAAGCAAAAACTTGGAAACTATTTCCAAATGTTGAGGCAATGTAGTTCAGTCATTACCATGGCAGGCTTACATTTGCAGACGGTCTGGTTCAACAAATCTCTAATCATTTTGTGGCTAAAGATCAATTGCTACAGTATTTTTATAGAAGAATTAGGTGGGATAAAAATCTGATTCAAATGGAATTTGATAGAGGGTTTTGCCTGCGGGTATGTTAGGCTCTGAAATGTCTTTTCCCATTATTAGTCAAAGCTGCCCACAGAGGCAAAGGGCCGAGGCTATGAAGTGAAAGAAAAGTGGGGGACTGGAAGTTGGATGAGGGCCCAGACTCAGGCACCTGCAAGGCCTCCCGTTCCCACAAATGTTGGTCAGGAAATGTGTCACAGTGTAAACTCTCAAGCACAAGGAGACAGCACACTTGTGATTCATTATTTGAAATGTAGGCTGTAGCGTTTTTTCAAAAGAAGTTAAAACATTTTCATGGTAAAGAAAACATTTAATGCATCATGAATGGGCTTGACTGAGAAGAAAGTGATGCTCCCTTGAGTTTCGACATATTATGCCGTTACAGGAGACTAAAGCATATTTTGAGTAGGAAGAGTGTTGGGGAAGCTACTCTGACAATATAGTTTACCAAGCTACCAATTACTTCACACTGGAAGAAGTTAAGCTACACTAAAACTACCCTTTAAAAAATATACTTTACTTAACTAAAGTTACTTTGAACTACTTTGTGAAAAAAACTACTTTGTGAAAGATTATCATAAGTAAATCTG